CACATATACAAGCCGAACCAATCACCATTTATAGAATACCCTATGTGAACTTTTAACCTGTTGCACGCCTGAAGGGTCAAACTTCATTTGTTTATTTATAATTTCTGTGCAAAGCTTAGCCGTCCCTAATTTCGACTTGATAGACTAGAGCGAATGTAGCTGGTCAACAGTCCCCACAGTTAATTCTTGGGCTACTCTTCTAATCGAGTAACGAATGGGTCCATAACCGAATGTAATCGCCCTTTCAGCCATGGTGTCGTTATAATGTGACAGTCAATTTCTACTTTTCGTTGGTAAAATAGTAGCCCAAGAGTCGGCATGTAGATGATGTTGACTAGCTGCCTTCCCTCTGTTCTATCTAGCGCAGATAGCTCTTGAGTAGCTGTGGATGAAGTCAACAAAGTCACCTTGTTCAAAGGAATGATAATATAAAATAGTGCCTAATTTATATTAATATACTTATGTGGAGTTTAGTTTGTTTGTTTGGAATTAAGCACAAAGCTACACAATGGGCTATCTGTGCTCTGCCCAACACGGGTATCAAAACCCGGTTTCTAGCGTTGTAAGTCCGCAGACATACCGCTGTGCCACTGGAGAGAAAAGGTACCAGATGCACAAAATAATGGGGATACACTGGCTGTCAAGATTAACGTCTATGTTACGTAAGTTTTACGCATGAAATGAAACATCAGAACTAAAAAATATAACTTAAAAATTAGGAAGAGACGTGGATGTTCTAGTTCGCAACGAAAGGCATCTAGAACAGCCATTTATTCTCTGTAGTTGCTTGTGATGAAACGGGAAAAACAAGTTAAGAAAAGAAAAAAAACGATAAAGCGGGAGAAACAAGTTAAGGGAAGAAAAAACAATAAAACGGGAAAATAAGGTAAGGGAAGAAAAAATCGATAAAACGGGAAAACAAGGTAAGGGAAGAAAAACGATAAAATGCGAAAAACAAGGTAAGGGAAGAAGAAAACGATAAAACGGGAAACAAGGTAAGGAAAGAAAAAACGATAAAATTGGAAAAGCAAGTTAAGGGAAGAAAAAATAAAACGGGAAAACAAGGTAAGGGAAGAAAAAAATCGATAAATTGAGAAAAAAAGGTAAGGGAAGAAAAAACCGATAAAACGGGAAAAACAAGGTAAAGGAAGAAAAACGATAAAATGCGAAAAACAAGGTAAAGGAAGAAGAAAACGATAAAACGGGAAACAAGGTAAGGAAAGAAAAAAAGGATAAAACGGGAAAACAAGATAAGGGAAGAAAAAACGAGAAAACAAGATAAGGAAAGAAACGAGAAAACAAGATAAGGAAAGAAAAAATAATAAAACGGGAAAAACAAGGTAAGGAAAGAAAAATATAGATAAAACGGGAAAAACAAGGTAAGAGAAGAAAAAATCGATAAAACGGGAAACAAGGTAAGGGAAGAAAGAAACAATAAAACGGGAAACAAGGTAAGGGAAAAAAAACGATAAAATGGGAAAAACAAGGTAAGGGAAGAAAAAACGATAAAATGGGAAAAACAAGGTAAGGAAAGAAAAAATCGATAAAACGGGAAAAACAAGCTAAGGGAATAAAAAAACGATAAAATGGGAAAAGCAAGTTAAGGGAAGAAAATACAATAAAACGGGAAAACAAGGTAAGGGAATAAAAAACGATAAAACGGGAAAACAAGCTAAGGGAATAAAAAAAACGATAAAATTGGAAAAGCAAGTTAAGGGAAGAAAAAAATCGATAAATTGAGAAAAACAAGGTAAGGAAAATAAAACGATAAAACAGGAAAAACAAGGTAAGAGAAATAAAAAGATAAAAAGGCTGCTACGTTAATTTTAATTCGTCTTGCATACTCTCATTACAGTTGTGTGTAACTGTATGGAAAACATAACAAAACCCTAAATGTGTTTGGATCTACAGTCCGGCACGCTAGCCATTAGCCCACACCCACTAAAATATCGAAATTTGGTCCATATTATTGTCAATATAATTATTTTATCCCTTAAAATCATAGCTCTGCTGCCTATTAGGCTTAGGAAACTTATTTTAAGCTGTTAACTATAGTTGGATCAGAGTATGGATCTAAAACAAACTTAAAAGACTTAATTTTAGCCTGTGTACTTTCTTACAAGCACGTGTTTTCGTTCAAAACGTTAAAACGTTTAAATCAGTGCAGGATTATTGAAAATCACGAGCGTTTAAATAGTCATGTAGCTTAGTGCTAAATTCAAAACAAATCAAACCCAAAGTTCGGAGCGCAATGTAAGGTACGAACCCATGGATACACCTGGCACACATTGTATGAAATACACAAATTTTATATTCTGACATTTGTTTGAATATTAATAACTACTAGTATTTCTGTTACCACGACAAAACTATTTACAGAACCAATCGCTATTGTATTCAGTGTGAAGCCCAAATTGTATTTAAATTGTCTCCATTAACATAAAGAAAGATACATTTTAAAAACGTTTTGTCATATTTCTGATGTTCTTTTGTTTGAATTGTAAATCTGTTTTGTTTCGTTCTTAGGATATGGCATATATATATAAAACCTCAACTTAACTAATTATAACTTCTTTGTTGTATATATTATCATTTTTACACTAAAAATCTCACTTTTTACCAGCTAATTTTTTACCAAAAACAAAACACTATGAAATCTTCTCCTGCAATACCGATCAGATATAAATTGAATGAATATTTAGAAAAAATTCTGATTATTAATACATCATGTCACATGTTATCGAAACACCTGAAGTATCTTAGGTTATTGGTAGTTAGTAAAGAATTAATCATGAAACTAAAGAAATTCCACCACAACATGTGGATACTTCGTTTATTTGTTTCTATCCTTCAAGTAGAACTGATGATCTGTGAATTCTGCGAAACTAGTCTGCTGCAGCAGAAGTAACGAATCAAAGATCAGAATAGGCCACTGCGTCATCTTTTCTTCATGGAATTTGTGTTTTGATGAAGAAAATAAATTCTCAAATGGATAAATCATTCATTTGAGGATTAAAATCATATTTCTTAAAGTTGTAGTAAGTATTTTAATTTCATATTTTTCATATTTTTTTGTGCATTAATAAAAACATATGCTTGATATATATATATATATATATATATTCATTTCTGTTATGTTGGTGTTAACTAGATGCCAAGTTTGATTTACCACTGCCCTCTTGATTTAGTAGTGGTGACAAGTTAGTGTCAAAATGGTAAAATATAATATTGTTTATTATCTTCTGAGATAAGGTTTAACAATTCAAAACATTTTTAATCATCACAGTTTTTACTATTTATAAAGTATTATTAGTTTTGTAGTCGATGTGGCACTGGTAGGAAGACAACGCCACCTATTTACCCAATAAAAGTTGGCAAAAGTAGCTTTTTGTCTTTTTTTTTATCTAATTCGATGTCATATAAAAGATAAACATTTCCAAAAATGATGTCGATGAAGCGCGCAAAGTGATTTATTCAGGTAGAATCTTTACTAATAGTTATATTACCTGGAAACGCCCCTATTAATATGAGGGAATACCACTTGCTTCCTGGGTTTTTCTGCCAGGCTGCTTATAGGATTATAGAAAAATATTCACGGTAGACTTCAGTCCATCTTCCACTCAGAAAACATAAACCTTTAACTGGTACTTGACTCATTACTAAGAAGCGCCATAGTAACCAATATATTACGAAGTCAATAATACTCGTGAGAAAAGGTCCAAAGTGGCATTCACTAGTCTTGGAGCAAAAGAAATCTGAGTTTCTGGCTGATACTTATAATAAATAACCCTTACAAGTAAAGGTCCAAAATTATATTCACCAGTCTTGGAGTTAAAGAAGTTTGCAGCTTATGACAGATGCCTCACGGTCACATGTTGTTTTTGTCTTATGCGTTTCAAACGAATTGTCGAAATGCCTCAGGATACAGCTATAAAGTCACAACTGTATAATAGTAAGTTTTCAAAAAGTGCTACAGGGTAATCTGTAACACACATGTAACAAAGCATACAAACCTGGTAATATTTATTTATCTTTTTGATTTCCAAAATCTTTATACAAACTTTTCTGGAGGTATTGATACCAAGTCCATGTTCTTATTTAACTTCAGTACAATAGTATCATATTAAGATGTTATTACATAGGGATTAATGTCTTCTACACGAAAAACACTTTTAAGTTTAGATTTCTGTCTGTGTCTTCTCTGTGCTTACTAAACACTTGACCAATCTTCTTTTCAGAAGTTAGAGTTCTACATCTCTGTCCTTGTTGAAATGTGGACTTGAGCTCAATGTAACTGTTGCTGTTGTGTCTTCAAGTTATCGTAATGTGATGTTCCATTCATTGCTGTGTGCCATAATTTCCCGTGACTACTGATGTTTTTCTGACTGTCAAATCTTGAATTTATTCACGTAATAAAATGATATTTATATGTTTTAACAAACACTGAGATATTTTACCCAGAACACCCTGGTCAAAACTGTTCCGCTTGTAGCAGCTATATTTAAAGACGCTTTTGTAAACGAACAATACAAGCCTTTCCTAGCATAAATCTAATGAAATGTGATAATATTATCTTGGTTTGTATGTCCAAATAAGGCTGACAATTTTGTTCTAAAGAAAGGTATTTAGTACATTGAACTGGATCAGCTTTAGATTATGAATAAAATCTTAATGGGAAAAAATTATTTCACGTGTTTTTATGTTGTTTAAGATTCCTTTTTCGAACTGAGCAGCTCATACAATCTCTTATTGGAAACAGGCAGAAATAAACAGTGAAAACATTGCGGACTTATTGACGAAAGCTGACCTAACTTACTGCAAATGTATACTTTCGAATGTTCTAGATTGTTTTTCATTATTACTTAGTTGTTATAGAGATTGCTGCGAAAAATCCTATAGGAACTCTCCCCAGAAAGCAAGAGCATTTCTCGAATTTTTAAAGATCACTGTTTATTCATTTTCGTTTATGTGCATGATACGAAGATATGTTTAATCAGATTAACAGCATGATAATCAATTAACAACGACTAGTTTTCTTTCTACAAATGAGTCGTGCATTTTATTTCATAATTTTTAACATTTAACAAATAAATGAACTTTGATTTTTAATTGAGAGTTTCAAAATATTATTAGAAACACTTCCAAAACTCCGATGAACTTACATCCAAGTTGGAGGCAAAATTCACGTTGTGTGTCTGGCCAATGCATACTCGGAGTAGATCAGAAATCCGTCTTTATTCAAGTCATTTTCTTGCATTATCTTATCGATGGCGACTGCAAATTAAAAACACTCTTAAGTTTAGAGAAACAATGGGGGAGTGAGAATCTACAAGTTGCTGTTTCCGAAAAAGTATAGTATCAGTTCCTTCACATGTTTGCATAAGCTGGGATATTCGAAAAATGAGTTAAAACATGGAAGTCATAATGTTTTCTACTTCTACTTTGATTTTAACATATGTCTCCAAAGCAGCTCCATTAAAATGAGATTTTTTTCAGTGAAATACTTCTTGAATCAGCCATTGATTCCGGAATAACACTATTAAATCTTCGTCAAAGGAGAGCTGGCAAAATCATTGACCAAAAGTTAGTGTCAGAGATAGTATTCCTGTGGTATCTCGTTGAAATACACGAACAACTTGAATTTTTTATACTCATTTCAACTCAATGAGGTCAATAGGAATAATCTGGCGGACGTTTACATTTTGTCCGGAGTGATTGCTGTTGTGTGCAATAAAAAACTGTCTCTATATGCAAGTAAGATGATCAAAAAAAATGATTTTAACATATTTGACCACTCCACTTATAGGACAATTTCATGTAAATTATGATTCTACTTGAATATTTAGTATTATTTCTGAAAAAAGAACTTACCACTGAAACAAAAGCAAAGGAAAAATACTGAAATTTCCTCATAATTTTCAATTACGCCAAATCTACAGTTCTAGGTGTTAAAACTAGCTTTTAACATAACAACGTCTACATACAATACTTCAAGTTGAAGTACCCCTGGGGGTCAAAGGTAAAAAAAATAATTTGTGAGTTTAACAAAACAAAACGATGTATTGTTGTGTAAGTTATATAAAAGGCGAATTTGGACTATTTATGGAATTGTTTCATGTATATGGCTTTGTTTTAGTTTTATTATGTAACGCATGAATGGATTTAATTTCATCTGGGATTATCTTTAGGGTCATAGAGATCACCCATAATTATCACTTTATTATCGTTCTAGGTCCAG